GCCCAACTTTGATGACTCCGATGACGACGATTGATGTGGCCAGAGCTGTAGTGGTGGTGGAGTCGGGAAGGAAGGGAGGTGTGAAGGGAGATGTGTCGTTGTTGCTATTCAACTGACCCAGCCTTGTGCGACGGCGACCGGTGCACTGCAGTGTGCAGTTTCGTGTGTGTTCGCCTCCACGACCTCACGCCCTTACGTCAGTACTCTAGACCCATAGAGGGTGCGGTGCGTCCAGGCATCGCTTCAGTGAGGCCAAAGTGAGTTTATGGATGTGTGAGAACACGGTACGGGACACGAGGAGGCACGCGGACCAACTCGTCGGTGACGTCTCTGCTGCACGCCTGACCCGCCGTGCGAGCCGGGTTAGCGTGTGGCTTGACCCGGCGGAACCCGCGCTGAAGTTTACTAAAAGACTCACAACACTCAACAGGTACGTAGGACATGGAAGAAAGAATCTCGACGGCGGGTCGGCTCGCTCAGATACACATCATTCTCAAACAAACGTAGGTAGGCATGACGCGGATCTCGTAATACCCCTTGGCATATTCGGCGAATAAAATTCGGCTTGCCCTCCACAGACTCCTCCTTGTACTCGCGCAGCTGGTCGGCAAGGGGAGTCCTTCTCGATTCCTTGGCAATCAAGAAGGCAGGCTTCTCGTTGAAGATCCCACTGTAGCAGCTATCCCACCGTAATTGGCATCCGTTGAAGGTCACAGTGCGAGAGTAATTGGCTGGCGCCTCGCAAGGGCTCGATCCGGACTCAGAGTCTGACCCCTGCGCGGGCAAGTATGTGGCCAAGGCGATCAAGGACCCACACTGTGGGACCTCGCCAACGGCGGTCGCGCCGACTTCAGGGGCAAGCACAACTCGCTGTACAACTACTTGTCCGCTCCAGGGCTGAGCATCAACGTGCGCCTGGAGGAGGCGCTCTACACCCTACGTGACGGGCAGCTGCTTGTCAACGGCACCTTCATGACCGAAGCCCACGTTGGCACCCTCGTCGCCGGCAAGACGCAGGTGGGCCCTCGCCCTGTAGCCCCTCTCCCCTAGATCCCCGACCCCTGATCTCCCCTAGATCCCTGACCCCCGATCTTCCCCCTCAGTGCAAATGGGCATACGTCAGCTACATCGCCTCCGAACTCAATCAGCAGAACTGGGCCTGGGGCAATGTCAGGGGCTCCTGCGGCGGCCACGGCTTCCGACTCGGGCCCAAAATGGAGAAGAACTGCAGCGGCGTGCGCACCTCGACCAAGAGCTCCACCGCAACCATCGCAATCAACCCGTTTGGCACCAACACCGACTCGGCGCCGTGGGAGCTCGTTATCCACGGCGACCATATCCACGACCGAGTCGCGGGGCCGCTGCACCGGCTCGACCTCGAGCTCTCGTACTCTCCCCGCAGGAAGGCCCCTCTCATCGCGCACGGTCTGATTGGCCAGAGCTTTGCCGACTCCTCTCCGCGTGTCGGCCGACTCGACGTCTACCCCGAGGCGGGCACCTTCACGACGTCGGCGCAGGCTGAGGGCGCCATCGAGGGCACGGGCGAGATGTACCAGGTGCCCTCGCCCTTTGAGACCGACGGGGCCTTCTCGCGCTTCGAGGCAAAGAAGGAGGCCCGGCTCGTTGCGCGCGCCACGTCGCTTGAGGTGGAGCCCGGCCAGGACATGACGGAGGCACGGGAGTTTGCGCGCCGCCTCGCCGAGGAAGCCACGGCGTGCCCACCGCCGCCGCCGCCGCCGTCTCGGCCGTCCCCGCCGCCTCCTCCGCCTCTCCTCTCGCCGCTGCCGCTGAACCCGGGCGAGGTGAACATCCCGGCCACAGTCTTTGTCCTTGAACTCGGCGGAGCGGGCGGGCGGCGGTTGGCCGATGTCAGCCAGTACAACCCCACCCGGCCGGCCACCGAGTTTGTCCTTGAGCTTGTGGACTCGAACGCGCTCAAGAGCGCCGTGGTGGCCGCGCTGGAGGCGGCTAACGCCACGCCGCTCCCCGCCGTCGGCCAGATTTCCGTCGAGGACCTCGGCAACGGCAAGGTGAGGGTGACTGTCGAAGGGGATGTTGTGGATGCTCTGGGCGAGGGGAGCTTCCTCGTCTGCAGGAGACCTACCCTTCGGCCGAGATCAGCGAGCAGCCAAAGGTGATCACCATCACGGTCGCGCCGCCCCCTCAATCGGCACTTCCGGCCCTGCCGCCTCTGGCTCCGGGCGAGCACATCTACTCTGGAGTGACGATGAGTGGGACAGTCCAGGCAGCGCTCTTCGACGAGGGGTACTTGCGCAGCACCTTTGCCGCGCTGCTTGGCATCTCGGCGGCGCACGTGGTCCTGTCCGCAACGCCTGCGTCGTTGCCTCAAGTCATGCCGCTCCTCATCATCACCTTGGCGACCACAGCTGAGGCATTGTTCTCTGACCGAGCGTCTTGCACGCACCCACTGCGTTCGACAGCGCAAAGTCACCTGAGCCCAGAATGGAGTGTTTGAGGAGCTCCACTGCAACGTCGGTGCACAACTGAGCCTCCATCGACCACAAGGCGGTGCTGTTCAGCAAAGGCCTCTCAAAAAAGAATTCTTGAAATACAAGCCTCTCTCACAACACACTGGCACGACAAGGGCGCGGACTGGCGCGGACTGGCACAGGTTAGGCAAGGTACATGTACATGTATGTATGTAGAAAGATGAACAGAGGTACACGCTTACGAAAAAAGAAAACGCAGCTTTCTTGGCGCCTGCCACTTTCGCGCTCCTCAAAGCACTGCTGCAAGACGCATCAAAAAGCACGATGCGTAGCAAGCGCAAGCGTGAAAACCTCGACAGTGGCTGCACGAGCCGAGAACGAGAGGAGGCACTGAGCGACGTCCCGGTGAGCTTTGCCGAAGTGTGGCGAGCAGGCACACTGTATGATGCGGCGGCGCTGGTCAACGGTGAGCCGCATCGAGCCTTTCTGACGGCGTCGTGCTGGCAGTGTTCTTCAGAGGCAACGCAATTCGCTCAATGTGAGCGGTTCACCTGACGGCTGACCGGTGTGCCGTGAGAGGGAGGGATGTCTGTTTGCTCTGCCCCGTCGAGAGCGATGACCGATGTGCGTCACACTGACTGACATTTGACTGTCTGACTGATTGGTTCCTTTCAGTCTGGAGAGAGTGAGAGGTGGGAAGGAGTAGGCATCGGAACAGTTCTACAAACTCACACAACGATCTGATGTCTCACCGTTCAAAAAATTGGAACAGTTTTCTCGTTCGGCCCCCGAACTTGCAAGTACACAACAAGCTCACGTCTGACACTTCAGACACACGTTTTTCAGACATCAGAGGGAGCCTCGCCCTCACCGCCGCCGCAAGTCCACCACGCGCGCGCTGCTCCCCGTGTGCCACTCCACGTGTGAGACATGCTCGTAGACACCGTTGCCCGCCTCCTGCCCGTTGCGCTGGTGATCGGGTGGAAGCCCGTCTTGCGGCAGCGCTGCACTTCGCGCAGCCCCGGCGGGTTCGGGTGGCAGAGCCGGAAGACCCGACCGACGGCGAGCTGCTGGGCGAGAGGACGAGGGCGACAGTCTCGGGAGAGGGGGGAGGGGGGGGGGGGGTCAGTCAGGGGTCGTGCGCGCGAGGGGGAGACAGCGAGTCGACCGGCCATGTAAGTGTCGCCGGAGCTATCGAGCCAGGCCTGGTGTGGGTTCAGCTCCGTGGGGGTAGGGGACGTTGGCAGGGGCTGCGGGCGGGCAACACATAAAAAGAATTCAATTCTGCGACCGCCACATCGACCGCCGATGCTCACGCACCGGCTGCACCCAGAGCGCGCTGTTGGTGGCCGTGCGTGCCCCGGCGCTGCTCCCGCCCTCCTCCTCCTCCTCCACGGCACAGGCGACACCGAGGAGGGCCTGCTTCCTCTAGCGACGCTGGCGCCGGAGGGCACGGTCGTCGCCTCGCTGCGCGCCCCGCTCCGCGCACCGTATGGTGGCTATCGCTGGTTCGAGGGGTACAGCTCCGCGCCCGAGCCGCGGGCGCTGGAGAGCAGCATCGCCGCCGCGACCGACATGCTCTTTGACTTCATCGAAGCGGCGCCAGAGGCGCTCGGGACAGACCCGGCGCGCGTGTATTTGCTCGGCTGGTCGCAGGGCGCCACGATCGCGTGGTCCGCGCTGCTGAGCAAGTGGCCGCGGCCCTCCTTCATCGCCGGAGCGCTCGCGCTCTCCGGCCGGCTGATGCCCGAGCTGCTGCAGCCGAGCACACCGCTGGGGCAGAGGGCGGCGCCGCGGGAGCAGCTGCGCGGCGTGCCGGTGCTGGCCACGCACGGAGGGCAGGACATGGTGACGCCCGTCTCGTATGGCCAGGCTAACGCGCGCCTGTTTGCCGACTGGCAGCGGGGCGGCGAGGGGAAGGGGGAGGGGTCGCTGTCGTTCCACGAGCTGCCTCACGACGGCCACCAGTTCTCGCGCAAGTGCCAGGAGCTCGCGCACGACTTCCTTTCTCAGCACCTCGCTTGAGCCGCACGCGAAACGATTTGCTGCGTGTATGCTTTTGGCAAATTTAGAAGCGACACAACTCAAGTTGCGCTCAGGAGCTCACCGTTGACCAGCGCCGCCGCATCATATAAAGCCGTGCAGCGACGATGAGCGAGACAGTGTGTGCGCACACCTGGCTCGCCACACTTCACGGCAAAGCTCACCCCGGGACGTCGCTCAGTGCCCCCTCTCGTTCTCGGCTCGTGCAGCCACTGTCGAGGTTTTCACGCTTGCGCTTACGACGCATGGGCCATCGTGGATGATGGTCTTGCAGCTGTGCTATATGAGAAGCGCGAAAGCGCACTCTCAAAGCGGCAGCGCCAACAACACGGCTGCGTTTTCTTTTTCATTTCCTTCTTTCCCCCGTCCGGCCTGGTGTGTGTGTTTGTGCTCACTCACCGAGCCTGGCCTTTCTTCGCCTTTCTATCTAATCCAATCCAATCCCCCTTGCGAGGGGGGGGTGGGGGTAGTGTCTTTTCTCCCAGTAAGCTAAAAGTACGTACATTAATGTTAGGAGTGAGTTACACTACACGTCGGGGTTGCGTCCATGACACCCAGCACGACCAAGACATCCAGTACGATGATCACGCACGGAGAGACTCCTCCCCCTCCCCACGAGGCGAAGGACGTCGTCGTCGACGGAATTCCTGTCCAGATCGGCCCCAGCGTCTCCGAGGAGACCGCGAAAGCGTCATACCAGGACCAGCGGCTGCGTCGGCGAGGTGCCTTGACGCTCCTTGCGCCGCTCTGGACCTGCTTGATCCTTGTCAATTTCCTGCCCGAGCACCAGCAGCGTCCTCTAGAGGTGACAATCTACGTGCTATCGGGGGCTCTGCTTCTTGGTGGTGTCGTCTTCCTGGCCACCTGCCTGACGCGCATGTGCCTCACGACAAACTGGAAAGACAGGGCCGCCGCCACGTTTGGCCGCAGTGGTGGAGCACTCAGCTCCAACGCAGCGTGCGCGATTTCCTCGCTCTTCGTCATGGTCGTTGGCGCTCTGGCGTCGACGTGGGCTGCCGCGTCGCTCGCCCTGTTTGGAATCTGGAAGCTGTTTCTCGAGGACGAACACTCCTGCTCCGACATTGGCACTTGTATTGTATTCATTTGGTATTCATTCATCATCGTTCCGATTCGATTCCTCGTCATTGTATCCCCTTGTTGGGCCCTTGCTTCTGTCATCCAAGCGGTCGCATTCAAGTACGTCCGCTGGTGGCCGTCTGTGATGGCGCTGGTGGGCGTGGCAGCAATCGGGCTGACGCTGGACGTCTGCCTGGACCCGAACTCCCCTCTCACGCCTACGATCGGTTTCGTCGGCAAGACATACGAGGATGCCTTGATTGGATGGCTCACATTGAACCCGCCGCCGCCGCCGCCAACGCCGCCGCCGCCGTTGCCACCGTTGCCGCCTGGCGTGTCGTTGCCGCCTCCACCGCCACCAGAGTGCTGTTCGGCTCTTTGGGGGGTCTGCCTGCGCTACTGGCAGGGGGGAGAATGCGTGAGACCCTAGCAAGGGTTGTGGGGTGGGGTGGGGATGTCGGGGTGGAGAGTGGGTGGGCGCCGGGGTGGGAGTGGTGTGACTGCTCCTGTGTGGTGCGGGCGACGGCTTCTGAGGAAGCCGTCGCCCGCGCCTCGCCTGTCGTGAATCGTGTCGTGCGACCGCCTTTTGTTGTAAATTCTTTGTAAAATTCTTTTCCACGGAAGAGGAGGAGGAGGAGAGTGAG